TGTCCACAGCAGATCATTGGTGATGTATGGTATCAGGACAGTAAATTTAATAATTAGTGTAAAAGTCACTTGCTGTTCCCTATAGTATACAGGGGGTTAGTTCTTCCTTTTCTGTGCTTCCTCTCTGTTTACTATCTTGTTGCTGGGGCCTATAGTCTGGCTCTCCTTTCTTTACTGAACCTGGAATGAATACAGAGGTGAAAGTAAGCCGGTACGGGCCGGTACGGAGGACCGGTAAGAAAAGGTGCAGTCTGACTCCTCCTCCAGCCAGGCTGAAGATGCTAAGCTCTGTGCTTTCCCCCTGCCTGGCTCTCAGCAGCGGCTGCAGGGGCTCCCCTCTAGCTTGCAGCAGGGAGACTGGCTGAGAGGGAGAAGCAAGCCTACCCCCTGCATAAGAGTTTAAACTCTCAGCTGTTCCCTGCATGGTTCAGCCCCCGGGTTAGGAGCCGTTTCTGGCATCCTTGTTAATTTCACTCACGGTTGCTGGGGGTTGGGGATCGGGGGGAGGGTGTGTTTGACCATGGCAAGAGCAGTTCTTTTCTGCCCCCGGGATGAGGGGCTCTCTCCAATACTAATATACACAACAAATACAAGCATTTGGCTGCACAGCTTAAATCCAGAGCTAATAAAAGCAGGTGGAAGGGGAAAACTCACTGTCACCTTGGTTTCTCGGCTCCTCCCTCCCCTGGGAGGGAGGGAGCTCCTGCAGCCGCTGCTGAGAGCCAGGCAGGGGGAAAGCACGGCCTAGCATTGGCAACCTGGCTGGAGGAGGAGGGAAGACACGGAGAAAAATGTGACAGTGAGTTTTCACTTTTTCAGGCTTATTCCAATATTAAAGTTTTATTACAGACAGTATTTTTAGTAGTAGTAGCAGCTTTATTTTCTATATCTATGTCATGCAATGGGAGGGATCCATGAAGTAGGTAGGAGAGGTGGGTTGCTTGCGATTGGACCATATGGGTAAGAAATGTAAATTACTTTCACCCTTGCCCAAACCCCAGGGCTCCCAGCCGCCTCTGCAGCTGGTAGCTCCGGCGATGATTTAAAGGGCCAGGGGCTCCTAGCTTCAGTCGGATCCCCGAGCCCTTTAAATCCTGATTTAAAAGGCTTGGGATTTAAAGGCCCCACCTCTTCCGCTAGAGGCCACGCCTCTTCCGGTTGAGGCCCCTCCCCCTCCGCAGGACTCTGGAGTACCGGTAAGTCCTTTAAGTTACTTTCACCCCTGAATGAATATATGTGTCAAAAGTGGTACTTCCGATGTATTTGCCCTTTGGGAGAACATTCATAAAATAAAAGTGGAAGCTATGCATCAGATTCTGTCCTCACGTAAACACATGCAACCCCATTAGTTTCATTGAGGTTTCATGGGTGTAACTTGGGGCAGAATTTTTCCCTGTGCCTTTCACTTACACAAACTTCAGACGACCCCAAAGCCAGCACAATTATAACAGAAGAAATAAAATGCCATCAATTTCTGATAGCTGCTAATGGTCTAGTCCTTCACATTCTCATCCTGGTCATCTTGTTTTTATTGCATCCTATGGTTTTCCATGCCATGAATCTGCTAGCTGCTTTAATTAATCTACAATACTTTTATCTAAAGCAAAGGTTTTGGTAAACCTGTCTGAATTTATCATTATGCTCTTCTGCTCTCTTGCATAGACTTTCTGCAACATAGTTATATAGAATGATCCTCAACCAGCAATGATTGATGTAAAACATGGGTCGATAATGTGATACCTTTATGTAGTCATGATTCTAATTGTACTCGTTCTACTTAATTTTGCACATTTCTTTCTTCATTAAGTATTCCTACTGCAAAATCCCTGTGGTTTATCATAATTTAACTAACCTAGACTAGAAACTAATTATGATGGGTTAGTTAATATTCAAACCGGGAGCAATTTACATGGAAAGATAACCCGCAAAGAAATATTTCCTGGAGTGCTTTAGTAGACAAATATAAATCCACAAAATGGACTAGCCTACAGGTTAGTATTCACCAATTACTGAGATTTTTTCAGCTATGAATGCACTTCTTTAATATTTCATCCTGACTGTGGGCTAGATCTGGAGAACCTTATTCAGAACCCAATTCTTCCACCTTTCCATGAGGCTATTTGCTACTAACTGCTACTGCACATGAGTAAGGGCTGCAGAATCAGGACCTTGGATTTTGCTCAGTGAAGTTGCCATTGACTTCATCTGGAGACCCGCCTGAGTGAAAAGGCTAGCTCATGCCTTTTGAATCCATGTGAGGAGGGTTCCCTACATATATAGATCTCCCCTGGTCTCTGCAAAGGGCACTCCATAGGTCTGAACATGGGAGGGAGAGAGCAGGCAATGGGTGAGCCAAGGGAATACACATTGTCCTCTCTTGCGGCCTGGAGAGGTATCTCCCAGACTTTTGATAAAGCCAGAAGTTATATTACAGTTGGCAACTCCTCCTCAGCAGTGGTCAGATCTAGAGGAGTCCCTTACAGTGCAATTCAGCTCCTCCAGGGGTCAGAGCCAGAACCACGTGGGGCCAGAGCTACTGCAGACACAGGGCCTCGATGCTGAGGACCTTGCACCCGACCATGGATCCTTGAGATCTGGAGATCCCTACAGATCTCCAGGTAGTTGTATGGTCTATGGGCCATGCCATCTCTTTCTTCTGGAACAAAGCCTGTCCCCTGATACAAGCATGTGGGGAAAAATCCTCCAGAGGGAATCCAACATATTTCCTTCCCCCTGCATGGGTATTAACCCTATAGAGGACAAGCTGCATCTCCATAAGGCCTTAAGGATTTGACAAGTAACAGGAAAAACCATCAAAGAAAAAGAGCATCCACCACTGAGTAACCAGTCTGCTAATGACACATGCCAGCAGACTCTTGGGTACACTGGCTGTGTCTGACTCATACCAGCAATGCTAATTACAGTCTTTTGTTTTATCGAGATGAAGCTGGTGGCTTTTATGCCTGAAAGAGGAAGACTTATAGTATTGGCTGAAGCCTGGTATAGTTCTAAACTTCCCCAAGCATCTGTGATACTATAACTGAGTATTGACTAGCGGGGCTGCATTGCTGGTGGATTTCCACCTATCATATGAAGCAGTTCAGAAAAAAATGAAAATTCTTGTTAGTGTGTTAAACGTATTTTGTAAATAATCTGAATAGAGGGGCCAGAACCAAGACTCTAAGCCCCTCCAGGCCTGAATTTTGTTATGGGATTGTCAGAGGATCTGAATTGTGCTGTTGGCTGTTGGGGAAACTCTTTATTAGACCTGGTCCTAACAGATAAAAAGGAACTGCTCACCAAACTATAAAATTAATGGTAGCTTAGTTACAAGTGATCATGACTAACCCTAACCCGGGAATGGCGAACCGTGGCCACTGGGAGCTGCGGGTGGTCATGCCTGCCAATGGTCAATGTAAACAAACTGTCTTGCAGCTCGCCAGCAGATTACCCTGGTGGGCCGCGTGTGGCCCGCAGGCCACAAGTTGTCCGCCACTGGTTTATACATATCTACATGGGGAACAAATATTTATTAATGGGCTCTTCAATCTAGTAGTGAAAGGTGTAACACAATCCAATGGCTGGAAGTTGCAGCTAGATAAATAAGGTGTAAATTTTTGACAGTGAGGATAATTAACCACTGGAACAATTTACCAAGGGTTGTGGTGGAATCTCCATCACTGATGCTTTTTAAATCAAGAGTGGATACTTTTCTAAAAGATCTGCTCTAGGAATTATTTTGGGGAAGTTCTATGACCTGTGTTATTCAGGAGGTTAGATTACTAGATGATCACATTGGTCCCTTCTGGCATTGCAATCTATGAATTTCTAAAATGAGCTGACCACCCCCACCCACCCATGTCTTTCCCACAAACCCCTCAAAAAAAAAAAAAAAAAAAAAAACTGAGATGAACAACTCAGGCCCATCTCTAATTCAGAATTGCTACATGACAATAAGTTTGTTATCAAACTGCCCCAATTCCATCTGAAGATCAAAGCAAAGGCTTGTGAGTTATGGATCAGAGTTCCATGTGGATGAGCATTCCAACATGTAGAAGTTTATCTGAACTTCTAAATTTAACAAGAAGTCTCATGGAGAATGGACTTCCTCATGAGATATCTAGCACTTACTGTTGCTGGTCACATTAGAATTAACTAGCTTGTGGGGAGGGATAGCTCAGTGGTTTGAGCATTAGTCTGCTAAACCCAGGGTTATGACTTCAATCCCTGAGGGGGCCATTTAGGGATCTGGGGCAAAAAAAATAGCTGGGGATTGGTCTTGCTTTGAGCAGGGGTTTGGACTAGATGATATCCTGAGGTCCCTTCCAACCCTAATATTCTAGTATTCTAACTTTCTCACATTATTATGACAGGTTCTGCTTCCCTTCTCAACCAGGAACCTGCAGAAAGCTACAACCATGTGTCTCTCCCCCCCCCTTTTTTTGTGTGTGTGAGCATGGGGGGCAGGAGGGAAATTCAAAGGAAACTTCCAGAAGGTTGGGTTTGTGTTCATTTTAGGAATGGGGACAGGTCTGGGAATTCATAACTTTTCCCAAACAGTTGGATGAGACTCAATTCCATTAGAATACAGTGAGAGGATTTTCTAAAGTTCTCAGTGCTCTCCTGACTCTGCTCCCACTGAAGTCAGTGGGTGTTTTATCATTGCCTTCAACAGGAGCCAAGTTAGGTCAGTACTGAGAACTTTGGACAATTCAACCCTATATGGACATGGAAGCCTTTTAAGTACCAGACTGTATCTTCTTCAAAGTTGACATTTTTTAAATAACAATCTTAAGAACAAACATGCTCTAAGCCAGTTACTCTGAGAAAATTCATTCCATTTGGGAGTTGGGGAATTATTTGTTTTAATCCTGAAAATCCTCATTAGCCCAAGACCTCATTCCATTTCCAACTGCACCTGTTCGAAAGCCAATAGAATAAAGAATGCACCTTCTGGATTTGATGTCTAAATATCCTATGTAAATATGTCTTTCCCTCAGGTATGATATGGTCAGAATGCAAAGAAATCTGGGAAGAGGGTCCACGCGAATATGTCATGCATCTTTGGAACCTGCTGGATTTTGGGATGCTATCTATCTTTGTGGCATCGTTCACTGCAAGGTTCATGGCTTTTCTCAAAGCAACTGAAGCACAACAGTATGTAGACCAGTACGTTCAGGATGATGACCTCAGTAATGTCACCCTTCCCCCTGAAATTGCTTACTTTACTTATGGTAAGATGATTTTGAGGATTTAATGCTTCCCGTTCTTTCAGGCTAGTGTGTGTGGCAGTGTAGAATTAGCAGCTTGCTTCTTCTTTTACATTCATGAAGTTTTTCCAAATTAAAACTGATTATTCTTCTCAGATCTATCAATTCCAGCCCTATCGGTAAACAGCTAACATAAGCTAAAGAGGAAAAGAGACTTAAGCTTCTCTCAGTCTCTGAACGTGTACTGAGACCAGACTCAATCGTATCATATGTTGACAAAATAACCCCGAGCAACTAATAATCATGAAACCAGAAGGGAATAGAATCTAATTTAAATTACATATAAGGGAATCTGCTCTATTTTTCAAATATAGGAGGCACGCTTTGCTAACAAATGAGTGAGTTGGCAGCTTTATGGTCTTATCATTTGGCAGGTGGAACTCCAATTGAAGTCATGGAAATTCTACATATAAAACGATGCAAGGACTGGGCTTTTAGCATAAAAAGATGAACCACTTATTTGTAACAGTTTGTATGAAAAAAAGCTTCCTGTTTACTTTGAGTTGTTGTTGCCATGCCTGCATATGTCTTTGATCTCATTCTGGATAAGCTAATATATTTTATGTCACTCCCATCAGTGGGTGACTAGACATGGAACATCAGACTAGTAATATTGCATGCCTCCATTTAACGACTTTAGGTTACATATTCCCCACCTAAGAAAATATAGCAGAGGAGGAACCAAGAAAGTGCATTCAGAAGAGGATAAAATTAACAAAATACTGTGCAAGAGTTTCCTTTGCTTTCATTCCTCAGTGACAATTTATGAGAACAGGCCAATATTTCCACATCTGAGAAACAATCTCTTGTCATATCACATATGGAGGGTAACCTATGATCCCCTCAGTTGTACCTTGCATTTCTGCACATATGAAAAGCAAAAGCAAGTATGGGAGCAAATTCTGCTCAGACTCGTATCCAATAAAACTGTATGAATGATTTGCTGCCCAGAAAAGGAGCTAAATCCTTAACAAATATTATCTATAACAATGTTTGACCATCTGTAATAGAAAATATGCATGCAATAATAAAATTATTCTTTAACTTCTCATACGTAGGTTTTAAATATTTGAGGGGCAATCATCAAAGGCATAAAGGAGAGTCTTATTGACTTTCAATAGGAGTTGACCACCTAAATTGTGCTTTGGCTGACATCCTAGCCCCACTGAAGTCAGTGCACATTTTACCATTGATTTCATGGGGTCAGGATTCCACCTTTAGTGCTTTGGAAAATCTTCACCTTGGAGTCTTCTTTTTTCTAAATAATAATGAGAATGGGAACCGCTGTAATATGCAGTTGACAAAATATTTCCTAGGATTCAAATGGTCCTTCCTTAGGTTTGAAAAATGAATAAAAGCTTTGCACTTAGGTTAGGGGTTGGATACACAGCATGGGGACAAGCCCCCACATTCCTACCAAATTTAGAATTACCTGCCTAAAAATAACCCAAATCACTAATGGAAAAATGGATCAGATTCTCAGCTGGTGTAAATCAGGATAGCTTGCTCCATTGAAGTCAGTGGAGCAATGCTAATTTACAACAGCATAAAGTTCTAGCCCTGTGTGCACAGTCCTAATATTTACAAATAATTACATTTTCAAACACAATATTTGGAGATAAGCTTCTCTCTCAATCACCGGACAAAATTTGATGACGCCTGAAATTGTTACATTCTGTTTTTCTTCTTTCTGCTTTGCTGCTGGAATATTGTAAAAAAGTCTTTTGTTATATGGTGAGGAGCTCCATCTTGTGGAAGCATTTTATTATTTATAAACCTTTTGTCATTTTTACCCTTGGGAAAAACCCGTAGAAAAAAAAGTCAGGGCTGGGGGAGGGAGAGGAATTTTCCAGTTAATAACCTTCGGCTGATATTTAATCCAAATGTATTTTCTCACTGTGCTTGAAGAAGGATCTTTTATATTTTATATATACACACATACATACCAGGGAGATTTCTATAAGTTTATCCATCCATAGATTATTATTTACCCATCGCTTTTAGGAAGAGTTTTACAGAAAATTGTGATTTTCCCAGGCTACGTATTTTCAATTTTCACCACGTAATAGGAGCATCAATTTAACAAAAACTATAAACAACGACATTTTAAATGATAACGTGTGATAATCGAAAGCTTTTTAATACCTGAAGTTATATTTTAATTTCTTTGTTATGACAAAAACTTTCATGGCTTATATTTTTATAATACACACCCAATTATTGTACGTTTTTTAAAGTAATTATAAGTCAGGTGATTAGTCATAACGTATCGAGCTGTAGTGTTTGATGATAGAGGTTGCATGGAAAATGGGTGTTAGTTGCCTCGTGGTAAATTGCAGTGTGACATCTATATGTTGTTTTTCTTGCAATTTTGTAGTAGGCAGTCTTGTAAAATGAAGTGAAATAGCCTGTGCATAAACAATTCAATTATTATATATGTAAAATTAAATTTAAGTGCATCTTTTTATGTTCAGTTACTGTTTTGATCCTCAGGAGTTCATGCCATATGCCTTACTTAAGGAGTTTGATACGGAACTATCTATTATGACCTGGAAATTTTGAAAAAAAAATCTTATTTGTACATTTATTTATTTTGCCTGGGGAGATGAACAAACTTGGATGATTTGCTTCTTACTTGGTGGTTGTTGTTAATTATATGACTATCCAACTTTGAAAAAGAGCAAAACCTCAGAAAACCACTTCCTTCTGCTTTTCAATGGAAACTAACGGTGTTAAATTATTTTCTAAATCTATTATCTCAAGTAAACACTAGAGAAATAAAGCTCTTTTTTTTTTCTCCAACATTAGAACTGTTTGCTGCAGAGTGCTTAGATAATATATATTTTCCTTTCAATTTCTTTTAAAAAACTACAGGTAAAATCTTGGCCCCATTGAAATCAATGACCACAAATCCCATTGACTTTAATGGAGCCAGTATTTTGCCCTACTAATTCTTGGTTCCAGAGTAATATATTTGTATTAAATGTTAGTTATATTTATTCATGAACTTTGGTTAGTAAGGTAACAATTGGTTGTAAACTGATATAGAACAAACTATAAACTAATATGAAAACATTCCCCCCCTCCACCCCTAATATTGACTAAGCATAAACAGGCAGTTAAAAATGTAGCCAGCCTCCTGCTTTAAGTTCAGAACTGAACTTTACAGATATGCTGCAGGGAATACTCTGCTTCTTTTCATTTCATCTGGGTTCATACAAATAATACTCAACTTTATTCCTGTGTATTGAAATATGGTACATGTTTTAGTTTTGGGTCAAATGCCTTGTATTAAATGCTGAGTCTCAGTTCATGCAAAAGAACCCCTTGATGCTTATATTCAAAGCATATTCAAAACCAGGTAGATTAGACAACTGATTTGTAGCCATATAGTATCAGCAAGGAACTTGTTAAAAGAAGTGGCTAAATTGTCAGGTTTTTTTAATTAAAAAAGTTAACACAATATAGATCTATTACAAGGTTTGGTGGTTCGATTGGCTTTATCTGAACAAATCCAAACCTCTTCGATCTTATCTCATGAGGACAGGTTTTGCCATGAGCTGTTTAGTCCTTGAAGGTTACGTTACATTTTGTGTTTTTATATGGTGCTGTTAATTCAATAATTAAAAGCTGGACATTTTTTCGTCAGTGTGATTCTGATCCACAATGACAAAGCTCCCATTGCCATCAGTTGGAGCAGGAGATGATGATGCATTGGACTGGGAGTCAGGGAATCTGGGTGCTGATTCCCAGTTCTGCCCCTGACTGCCTGTGTGCCTTGGGTAAATCACAGCAAACTTCCTGTGCCTCGGTTTCTCTAGCTGAAAAATGTGGCTAATCATTCCTATCCATCTTTGTAAAGCACCTTGAGACCTGCAGATTCCTAGTAGATTCCTACACTTTTCCTTCCAGTCCTGGCCAGAACCGAGACCCAGGACCTATTTTATGGGTCATTTATATTTATATTTCTAACATTTTCTGTTACTAATACCTTATATATGTGTATTGTTTCAGCCAGGAACAAGTGGCTTCCCTCGGACCCTCAGATCATATCAGAAGGACTATATGCAATAGCTGTGGTACTCAGCTTCTCCCGTATTGCTTACATTCTTCCAGCCAATGAAAGCTTTGGCCCTCTTCAGATCTCTTTGGGAAGGACAGTGAAGGATATCTTCAAATTCATGGTCATCTTCATCATGGTGTTTGTTGCCTTCATGATTGGAATGTTCAACCTTTACTCTTACTACCTTGGTGCAAAATATAACCCAGCATTTACAACGTGAGTACCTAGGAAAAGGAGGCTATATAGATTATAGTTCTAGACCTAGTAGTATCCCTTACTGGGCTGCCTCATATGTAACCTGCATGCCTTCTGCGACTCATGTCGTTTGCACTATATTGCTGCATTGTTTAATTATTCCAAGTGGTGAAGAGGGCTCTAACTGCATGAATCCATTAGAGCCAATGAAAGGTGCATGGCTAAAACCTGGTGCAATGTTTAATAAGCAGAAAGGACCCTCCATCCAAGCCCTCTTTTTTTCTTTCCCCCTAAATCCAATCCTCTCTGACCCACCCAGTCACTCAGTTCCTCCCCTCTTCCTTTACATTTTATCTCCCTCAATGCACTACATTGGCTCCCACAGTCCCCTTAACTTCACCATATATTTATGGTAGGGTCCTACTGAGTCTAGCAGTCTCTGCTAAGCTGGTAACTGCTGAGCTTGCAGGCTTTAAAATTTCCCTGGGTCAGAGGTGCCCTAGAATATATTGCAGACTTCTGACATTCTTGTCTCGGTTACTGTTTGCCTGGAAGTGCTGCACCTTAAGCTACTGTTTCAATTGATTGGGGAGGTTCAGACTTTGGCTGGGAGACCACTAGTACAGCCTCCAGTTTTGATGTCCTATCCCAGGTCTCTTTCAAAGAGTGTGCAGTCTGCAAAAAAGGAAACCCAGTAACTCAGAATCTGTTATTTCTAGGGTAAAACACAAGCAGGAAAATGGTTCTTTGAGGTGAGTGGAAAGAGCAGAGGAAATTTTCATAAAATTATCTTGACAGCAGTGAAAAAGAAATCCTTTTGTATTTTTACCTTTAAGAAGAGCAGTCAATACAGCAGGCCATGTTGCGTTTGTGATCAGCACAGAAAGGATTAAACACCTAATTATTATCCAAAAGCTACTTCTACCAAAGTGTATGTAAAATGATGAAGCAGTAAAATTGCACACGTTTTGCATCTGTAATTTCACACCTGCATGTGGCTGCTATGCAAGGCAACATGTACACCTCTCCCCCGATATAACGCGACCCGATATAACACGAATTCGGATATAACGCAGTAAAGCAGTGCTCCGGGGGAAGGGGGGGGCTGCGCACTCTGGTGGATCAAAGCAAGTTCGATATAACACGGTTTCACCTATAACGCGGTAAGCTTTTTTGGCTCCCGAGGACAGCGTTATATTGGGGTAGAAGTGTGTCTAAAGAACCAAGTGTCTAAAAAGTGCTATTGATGCATTTGAAAAAAAGCAATAAATAAATAACAGTGGGGAATATAAGACAGGGAGTTCCACATTCCCTAAATCAAGTGCATTTCTCAATAGAGAACACCGTGAAGACATGCATAATATCCTGCCAGCATATGGGCGAGATACAAGGAAAGATGCTGACTAGGTTGCTCGTGATCTCCCTCTAGTGCCCATCCAATAAATCAACAACCTTGAGAAGCTGGAGGTTGTCTGCATTTTGTAGTTGTTTGCTGTATATACCGTATTACAGCTGCTTGAATGTTGCAACAAATCATTCCTCAAATAATGTACTTCAGTGGCTCTACAGTATGTGCAATGGCTGAATAATAGGACTGTAAGTGAGAAGTGGTTCCTCAAAATATGTCTGACTTTATTCAGGCTAAGCTATGATGTTTGATATCACACCCGTCATTTGGAGACTAGATATGTGGTAACCAATTAGTACTCCTATATGCCAGAATCTAATAACTGTGGGCTATATATTCCCATCATCATCAAAAATAGCAGGAAGGGAAACAGTGTTTGGAAAACACCATAGGAGTGAACTCATTGAGTTTCGAATTAATGCCCCTGTGAAAGTGTTTGGAGCCTCATGGAGGCAGTAGGAAGTGCAAACTAGAAACCTTATGGATCCACACAGAAGTCCATGCCCAACCCCATACATACTGGGGTGCAAGGAGAGGCCTCTCCACACCTCTCTCCGGGCACACACATCATCAGCATGGATCCTTCAGGAGTTGTGCTGCTATTAGCTTCCCTAGCCATATACCCTTGAGGCAGAAAGCACAGAGTAGGAGTTCGTTTCAACTAGGGTTAATTCCCAGGTGCACTTCCACTCAGAGGTGGCCATGTTATTCCCCAGGTCTGCCCTGACAGGCCCACAAAGCCATGCGATGAAATGTTGACATCAGCAGGTGTTTTGCCATTGACTTCAGTGGGGACAGGATTTCATCTATAAGAACATACATAAGAATGGCCATATGGGGTCAGACCAAAGGTCCCTCTAGCCCAGTATCCTGTCTTCTGACAGTGGCCAATGCCAGGTGCCCCAGAGGGAATGAACAGAACGGGTAATCATCAAGTAATCTATCCCCTGTCACCCATTCCCAGATTCTGGCAAACAGAGGCTAGGGACACCATCCCTGCTCATCCTGGCTAATAGCCATTGATGGACCCATCCTCCATGAATTTATCTAGTTCTTTTTTGAACCCTGTTATAGTCTTGGCCTTCACAATCCTCTGGCAAGGAGTTCCACGGGTTGACTGTGCATTGTGTGAAAAAAAATATTTCTTTTTGTTTGTTTTAATCTGCTGCCTATTAATTTCATTTGGTGGCCCCTAGTTCTTGTTATGAGAAGGAGTAAATAACACTTCCTTATTTACTTTCTCCACTCCAGTCAAGGTTTTATAGACCTCTATCATATTCCCCCTTAGTCGTCTCTTTTCCAAGCTGAAAAGTCCCAGTCTTATTAATCTCTCCTCATACGGCAGCTGTTCCATACCCCATGGAGTTTGAACTGTGAGCATAGGCAGAGATGGGATTAAATTGGCTCCCAAGGAGGAGAGGCAGTTTATCACAGTTGTCCCATTGCTTCCCTCAGAAAAGTCTGGGGCTATTCGACCCCTGCTTGTGCTCCCATCTGTGATGCAAGACAGAGGAGAGTCGGAGGGACGCAATATAATGTCCCCCCTTTGTACGTCTAACCTAATGATGCCACTTTAAGACAACCCCTGCAGTGACATTTAGTTGAGTAAATGTTTAAGTAAGTTGATACTGAAGCACTAACCTAAGTCAAAGTAAACAGGATCTGGCATTTTGATGTGTTATTCATATACTATATTACACAATGGATGGAGGGATGCTGCTGTTAGCCCCAGTGTGAGGAAATGATCTTCCCAACTTAGTTTCTGTCTCGTATGAACTACAGATTCTTTCCAACATATAGGATCCAGCTGTGTAGCATAACATATGCTTTATAAAGTAGAGTTTAAACTTTCTAATCAAAGAAAATATGCCTCCTACAGTTCTTCTGTTGCCTTAGGATACATTTTAATGGAGGGATTTCCAGGACTGGCTGCAAATACATTTCTCTGTTTCTAATAACAAGGTAAAAGAAAACTGAGTATGTAGGAGGAGACATGTTAATCATACAAATAGAAGACTATGCCCTTGAAGTACAGGAGTTAATCAGTGGCTCAGTCAATATCTCCCCGACTGCCTGGTGGAATAACAACCATCAGTTATGGTTCTCCATTGGTCTATGATTCCAAAATAGTTGGATAATGAATTTTAGGCCATCACTGACGCAATATCATTGTGTAGCTTTGCTATTTACTGACAAGCTTAACTAACCATGAGATTCTCGTTATAAACCTTGCAGCATGTATTGTCACTTGAATGATGAACAAGCCTTGATTGAAATGGTGACTATTCCCTAGAGTAAAAATTACTTCCAGTAGTAAAGGTTGCAGGATCAAGTTGTAACAAGAGAGTGTGGGTGGTTGGGAGATACCTGCCCAAAGGGGAAATAAAATGGTCTTCTTCTTTAAGTCCAGATCCTCTGGAGATTCCAAATACTAGATGCTCATCTATCTGCCCTGTAATGAGTTAGTATTGTTAGTAAACACCTATCGGAAGAACCCAAATAAGCCGTGTAAGAATTTGGAAGAGAAGTCAAAACTCAAATTAGGGTGTAAAAGTACCAAGTTACTACTTTAGGATAGCAGATTCTTTACCAGCAGAGTAGAGGTGTGTGCTGTCTGAACATCTGACAATGCCACCAGAAGTAGTGCGTTGGCACTTTTGGCCTGGATCCCACAACCTGATCCATTCAGAGAGAATGTCCCTATGGAATCCCCCTGGTGCTCCACACAGGCTAAAACATGCCCCTGAGCAGGTCAGATTGCAGGGTCAGGGATTCTGTTATCTTGCCCAGCAAATTTCAATTAGCACTGTTAGGAAAATTCACATTGGCGAACATTCCTCCAACTTTGTTCCTAATGCTGTTCAGCTAGTAAGAGTAGATTTCCAGGCTCCCGTATTCCTGTTTCAGATTATTTTAATACCCTGGAGTGTGAAATATGTGATTAGGAAGGGAGATGTGCAGTCTTTTTTAAATAATGCATATACCGTACAGCTCAGGGATTAACATTCATTTTAGACCATTCTCAGACACTTTCACAAAGCTGGAAATCTTATGGTGTTTAGTCATAAACATATGTTGTTAATTTACACATATCAAGAATACATTAGCATATGGGCAACCATGTATCATACCTTCAATATTTTACTGAGCTGTCAGTGAGTTCTGAATATGCAGAATATGGTGGGTATTCACAAATGGCACTAACTGTCTCATGAAGAGAAGGAGGAACAAATTATTGCAGTTGAGCAACTACTTTAAACAGCTTCTGTGAAAATTCACGCGGGAAAAACAAAAACAAGTTTTTTCTTTTGCTGTGTTCATAACCCTTGTGTGGTTGTCGTGCAAAGATTTCTTCAAATGCATTTACTGGTAGGAATGTTTGTGAAAATCGAGGATTTTAAGTGAAGATCATAGAAAATGTACAGAAAGCAAATTTTGAACTGGAAAATGCAATTGCTTGCACTGGAAACTGAGTCTAAGGGATATGTTCACCCAGTCATGAAATAGAAAAAGTACCACATGGTCTGCAGATCAAATCAAAACTAACCTATTTCTCTGTCTTTTTGTTCTCTGTTTGTATGGGACCTAGCACAATGGGATCCTAGTCTATGAC